CTTTGTTCCTACAAGCCCAGTGAATGTGTCTGAGGTGACGTTGGACTTTGGCTTCATGTTTTCTTACTGACGAGTTTGTTTGAGTGATGACACACTGTGAGTTTAGTCTCGGAAGCACATTTTAACCCCAGTTTAACTTTAACCTTGAATCTGCTCAACAGCTTGCTTACTAGTGCAGAGAGTAATAAAGTTTGTGCAAGTTTCACTTTGAATCATAGAGAGGTGAAGAAAACGCCACCTGAAGCCGGATCTCCATCGACGCCCTCGGATTCAAACTGTGACCTGCTGGCGGACAGACAGACAGACTGAGTGTACATTTGTACAGATGTGAAGATGTTTGCTGGTTTCCTTCCTGTCCGATGTTCTCAGAGCTTTAGTGTGTTTGAGCGCCCCCTGCTGTAGACCTGGATGCTAACCTCTGTGTTGGGTTTGTTAACACTCATTGGACGTACAAATAAAAACAAGTTATCCATGACGGCCGCGCCTGAACGCTCATTTCACTTTATTTACACTTGATCGTTTATTTTATGGGTCCAAGGTGGCGTGATATTAAGAATATTGTATATTGTCAACACAAACAATGGCAGATTTAATTGGCTCTATAAGGCATTATCACGCAGAGGTGGGACCAAGTCATTGTTTTGCAAGTCTCAAGTAATGTCAGGCCAGTCAGAGTCGAGTCTCAAGTCACTGGTGTAAAAGTCCGAGTAAAGTCACAAGTCTGAAACTTTGAATTTTGAGTCCTTTCGTCAACACATGACGAAATAGTGAACGTAGAAAATATACACAAATTGTGAAATTGCACCTCTTTAAAATGCAGCTCAATTAAACCTAGCTCCAAGAATAATTTTCACCGACGGTTCTGAGATAAGCTGCATGTTATTCTTGGATGCGGTTGTAGGACCGGCTTTAAAATCGCATGACAAAAATATCATACACATTAAAAAAAACTGCATCACCAACGTAGCCTGAACAACATTTGCTTGTTAGATGAAGTCAGCTATCTCATCGTAGCAAGAGAGAAGCACCACCTACCGTTCTTTACGCAACTTCTACCGTCGGAGAAAGTTGGAAGCTGCTCCATCTCTGTCTGTGATTCTCTACTTGCATGTTTTCCATATTGCATTTCGGTTTTTTGTTGACTACTTCATAGTTTATGTACCTGAAAAAAATATCTCCTTGCAGCATTTTTGAGCGTTTTTTTTTTTCTTTTTTAAAAAAAATCTGGTTAATTTGATTGGCTGTGGTACAGCTCACGCAGACATACGTACGGAGTGTGGTTTGAATAAATGAATCAATTAAAATAATGGTGCACACTTTCTATATAATATAATATAATATGCGTGTTAAATTTTATATTTGGGGTGAAATATCAAGTCTTTTCAAGTAAACCGGTTCAAGTCCAATTCAAGTCCCAGGTCATTTGTGTAAAAGTCCAAGTCAAGTCACAGTCTTAGAACATTTTTTCAAGTCAAGTCTAAAGTCATAAAATTAACGACTCGAGTCTGACTGGAGTCCAAGTCATGTGACTCGAGTCCACACCTCTGTTATCACGTCAACCTGCAGATCATTCTAGCATATCTAAATCTTTACGTGGTACTTTCTATATGCTGGCAGTACACACCTCACTTGTAAGGGTCATAGTTTCTAAGTTACAGGGTTTTTTGTCAGTCTTTGATGTGTCGACCTCATTGGATGGAAGCCAGATTTAATTGGATTGTCACAATGACATCACTCTATGCCTCTAATAAGTTTAAATACATTTTTTCACTGTGAATGACGCAGTTTTGATATTAGTAGTGTGTAAGCCATTTTAACCATTAACTTTATTTGAAGGAGTTTTATTAAAGTGAGGAGCTGTATCAGTAAGTGTGCACCGGACGTTTTAATAAGAGAAAAATGCAGCATGTCACCAGATTTTCACATCATTTAAAGATTGAGAAGATGTCTTTCTTAGAAATCACCAGAGCCAGTGTCATCTGACCTTTGATGATCCCTGTCACATGAACGTTTCTCAGAAACTCTGACACTGGTTCCTTCATCCCGCCTCTCTCTGAGCATACTCTGACTGCATTTACCCAAGAAGACACTGACGTGGTCCACGGAGAGCGAAACGCCTGTAATGACGCAGATATAAACGATTAACCTGCTAACAAAAAAAAAAAGTGAAAAGCTTTTACATAATATTCTTTCTGTGGTTTTGTAGAGTCTCCGGCAGGCTGCTGCTGATGTTTGCTGATCGTGTTGAAGCATGACCTCATTACTTTTACATTTTACATTAACAGTGAGCCAGTGTATTCTTGTTTTTATGTTTTCAGACTTGTATCTTATTTGAAGTTCCTGAATTGAGTCATGCAGCTACAACAATTTGTAGGGTAGATTACAAAATATCACTGCTATGTATCAAGTGACAGAAATATCGGTTGTGTCACGTACGCCTCACAGTTACAGGAACACGGTCACGATCGATGCGTGAACACCAAACCTGAGCAAAACACTGGGAGACATTAGCTGATGAAGGCAGATTCAAAACACCAAGCTGGCCATGGTGAAACACTCCAGGATTCATAACAAGCTTCGGTAACCAGCGGGACCAACAAGCCTAGTACTGATTTGATAATATCATTTTTTTTAAATCAGTCAAGAAGAAGCCAGTCAGTCACTCCTTACCTTGCAGCTTCCTGTTTCAAAGTGGCCACACCCCCACCTGCAAGCCTGATCAGTTACAGCTTCCTGTTTCAAAGTGGCCACACCCCCACCTG